ATATATATGCTGTGTACAAGAGATCCATCTCAGAACAAAAGACTCACATGGGATGAAAGTGATGGGATGGAAAAATATTTTCCATGCAAATGTAAACAAACAAACAAAAAAGCTGGTGTAGCAATACTCATATCTGATAAGAAAGACTTCAAAATGAAGGCAAGAATAAGAGACAAAGAAAGTCACTACATAATATTAAAAGGTTTGATCCAACAAGAGGATATAACCCTGGTAAACATATATGCACTGAATACAGGAGCACCAAAATATATTTTAAAACATCTGGAGGACTTCAAGGGAGAGATTGACAGCAATACAATCATGGTAGGGTATTTCAACACTCCGCTGACATCACTGGATAGACCTAGACAAAAAGTTAAGAAAACAGAGACCCTGTACTAGATCAGCTAAATTTAATTTATATTTACAGAACATTTCACCCCAAAACTGTAGAATATACATTCTTCTCAAGTGCACACAGGACATTCTCAAAGATAAACCACACATTAGCATACAAACTAAGTCTCTACAACTTCAAGAAGACTGAAATCATATCAAACATCTTCTCAGATCACAATGGTGTGAAATTAGAAATCAATTACAATGAAACATTCAAAAGCATTTAAATACATGGATGCTAAATAACATGCTATTAAACAATGAATGGGTTTCCAATGAAATCACAAAAGAAATCATTAACTTCCTGGAAACTAATGGAAATGGACACACAACACAAAATCTATGGGACACAGCGAAAGCAGCAGTCCTGAGAGGGAAGTTGATAGCCTACCTCAAGAAACAAGAAAAATTTCTAATAAACTATCTAAGCCTACAATTTCTTTTAAAAAACTATAAAGGGAACAAAAAGAATAACCCAGAACTCATAGAAGGAAGGAAATAATAAAGATCAGAGTGGATATAAATAACATAGAGACTAAAAAAACAATCCAAAAGATCAATGAAACCAAGAGCGAATTCTTTGAAAAGATAAACTAAATTGATCAACCTTGAGCTGGACTCACCAAGAAATAAAGAGAGAAGACCCAAATTAATAGAATCAGAAACAAATGAGAAGCAGTAACAACTGACACTATAGAAACACAAAGGATTGTAAGAAAATACTATGAACAATTATTTGCCAACAAATTTGACAACTTAACCTTAGTGAAATGGGCAAATTCCTAGAATCATACTGTCTTCCAAAACTCAAAAGAGTCAGAAAATCAGAACACACCAACAACAACTAAAAAAATAGAAGCAGTAATCAATAAACTCCCAGCAAACAAAAGCCCTGGTCTGGACTGCTTCACAGGGGAGTTTTACAAAACATACAAAGAAGAACTACCACCAATTCTTCCCAAACTATTCCAAGAAATTCGAGAGAGGGGAAGACTCCCAATCTCTTTTTTGAGGCCAACATAATCCTAATCCCAAAACCAGACAAAGACATTACAAAGAAAGAAAAAATTACAGGCCATTATTGCTGATGAACATAGACACCAAAATCCTCATAAAAATATTAGCAAATTGAACCCAGCAATACATTAAAAAAATTATACACCATGACCAAGTGGGACTTATCTCAGGGATGCAAGGCTGGTACAATATTTGCAAGTCAATAAATGTGGTATACCTCATAAACAAAATGAAAGATAAAAATCATATGATCATATCAATAGACGCTGAAAAAGCATTCAACAAAATCCATCACCCATTTCTGATAAAAATACACAGCAAAGTGGGAATAGAAGGATCATACTGCAACATAATAAAGGTCATATATGACAAACCTACAGCCAACATCATACTCAATGGGCAAAAACTAAAAGCATTTCCCTTAAACAGGAACAGGACAGGGATGTCTGCTTTCACCACTCTTATTCAGCATAGCATTAGAAGTGTTAGGCACAGCAATGAGATGAGTAGAAAAAATAAAAGGCATCCAAATTGGAAAGGAGGAAGTGAAACTGTCATTATTCAGAGATGACATGATATTTTACATAGAAAACCCTAAAACTCCACCAAAAAACTACTAGATTTAATAAATGAATTTGTTACACATCTAGAAATTGTTGGCATTTTTATACATCAATAATGAATGCATAGAAAGAGAAACTAGCCCTGGCCGGTTTGGCTCAGCGGTTAGAGCGTTGGCCTGCGGTCCTGAGAGACCCGGGTTCGGTTCCCGCTAAGGGCGTGTACCTCGGTTGCAGTTTGTCCCCGGCCCTGGTTGGGTCGTGTGGGTGGCAACCACTCGATGTGTCCCTTTCACGTTGATGTTTCTCTCTCTCTCCGTCCCACACTCTATCTGAACAAAAAATAGAAAAAATGTGAGGATAAAAAAAAAAAAAAGAAAGAGAAACTAAAAAAAAAAAAAAAAAAAAAAAAAAATCCCATTTACCATTGCAACAAAAAAGATTAAGATACCTGGGAATAAACTTAGCCAAGGAGATAAAAGACTTGTTCTCAGAAAACTACAGGACATTGAAAAAAGAAATAGAGGAAGATATTAAAAAGTGGAAGCATATATCATGTTCATGGATTGGAAGAATTAACATCATTAAAATGTCCATACTACCCAAAGCAATCTGTAGATTCAATGCAACCCCTATTATAATACCAAGGCATATTTTACAGATCTAGAACAAATACTTCAAAAGTTTATATGGAACCAAAAAAGACTCCAAATACCCACAGATACCTTGAAAAAGAACAAAGTTGAAGGGAGTCTCAATTCCAGCTATCAGGTTATACTACAAAGCTACTGTAATCAAAGCAGCCTGGTACTGGCACAAGAACAGGCATATAGATCAATGAAACAGAGCAGAGAACCCAGAAATCAACTGAAGACATTATGCTCAACTAATATTTGACAAAGGAAGCAAGAGCATACAATGGAGTAAATAAGTCTCCTCAATAAATGGTGTTGGGGAAATTGGATAGATACATGCAAAAAAAATGGAACTAGACCACCAAGTTACACTATGCACAAGAATAAATTCAAAATGTATAAAAGGGTTAAATGTAACTTGTGAAACCATAAAAACCTTAGAAAATAAGGTAGGCAACAAAATCTCAGACATCACAGGAAGCAGAATTATCAGTGAAAATTTCTCTCACCTAGGGCCAGAGAAACAAAAGAAAATATTAATAAGTGGGACTACATCAAACTAAAAAGCTTCTGCACAGCAAAAGAAACCAGCATCAAAATGAAAAGGGAATCCACTGTATGGGAGAACATATTTGCCAATGGTACAGCAGATAAGGGGTTAATTTCCAAAATATATAGAGTACTCATGCAACTCAACAAAAGGAAGACAATCAGTCCAGTTAAAAAAAGGGTAGAGGATCTTAATAGACACTTCTCCAAACAGGACATACAAATGGCTAAGAGACATATGGAAAAATGCTCACTAACCATCAGAAAGATGCAAATTAAAATGACTATGAGGTATCACCTCACACCTGCCAGAATGACTGCCATCAACAAATCATTAATCAAGTGCCGGCAAGGATGTGGAGAAAAGGGGATGCTAATACACTGCTTGGTGGGAATGCAGATTGGTGCAGCCCCTAGGGAAAACAATATGGTGTTTCCTCAAAAAAGTAAAAGTTGAACTGCCATTTGACCCAGTGATTCTACTTCTGGAATATATTCTGAAAAGCCTGAAACACCAATCAGAAAGAATATATGTACCTCCATGTTCACAGCAGCATTATTTACAATAGCTAGGATCTGGAAACAGCCCAAGTAGCCATCAATAGATGAGTGGATTAAAAAGCTGTGGTACATTTACACAATGGAATACTATGCAGCTGTAAGAAAAAAAGATCTTTTACCCTCTGAGCCTACGTGGAGGGACCTAGAGAGTATTATGCTAAGTGAAATAAGGCAGTCAGAGAAAGACAAGTATCACATGCTCTTACTTTTTGTGGAATATAATGAACAAAATAAGATGATGAACAAAATTTATCTAGAGACATGGAATTAGGGAACAGACAGACAAACCTCAGAGGGAAATGGGTGGGGGAGTGGGGAGAGATAAACCAAAGAACTTATATGCATGTATGTATAACCAATGGACACAGAACAGTGAGGTGAAGGCAGGGGTTGGCAACAGGAATGTGGAGGAGGATAACGATGGGGGAAAAGAAAAGACATCTGTAATAAAAAAATTAATAAAATAAATTAAAAAAATAATTTGACATTGCTTTTAAAAGTTTAATAGCTGGAAAATTATTTTTAAAAATCCATACTGTTATTTATTTTGATAAAATTTTTGAGAGAAAAGAATGGGTAAATCTTCCATGAGGATGATTAAAGGACTGACTTGACTATATTAAAGTAAGACAAAGTATCTTTTGAAACCGTAAAAATGTATTTAAAAACACAAAATTTCTATAAAGCATGATACAACCCAAACACGAGAGCCAACTTACACTTTTTTTTTTCCTCCAATTTTTATTAGTTTATTTTTGTTACAGATGTTTCTGCTTTTATTTTTATTTTTTGGTCTGATCAACTAAATGTATCTTTTATCTAACTTAGGTTATAGGTCAAATGGATTAAGAAATTTCACTTTTGCTAAGAAAATGAAAAAGTGGTCAAGGACCTGTGGAGCCTGTTTAATATTGTTTTGAAACAATAAAGAATATTTAACGTGAAAATGTTAATTAAAAGTGGACTATATCAGTTACAGTATTGTTCAACATATCTGTAAGGTTCATGCTTATAACATCTGAAGAGAAAATAACCACCAATCACCCTGTTAATCCATCGGGCATTGCTTGCTGAGTTAAGTTTGTCCTTGTTAAAGAAATTATCTTTGTTTCCCCCTCTCAGGAATGCATGTAAAACAGTTCCTGTCTCAATGTATGCCTAAGGCAAAAAGTTCAATGCTCAATTACCTGCTCTCTGAAGTCTCATATTTTGCAATAAGCAAGTAAAATAGCATTTTAATCAGAAGTCTTGACCCATGCTCTTCCCTTTCCCTTCTCAGCCCTGCAAGCTATTTGGCATATGAAGGTCCTGACCTGAGAAAACCATCTTGGTTAACCACAGCGAGGAGAAGGAAAAATGCAACACCTAGGAGATTTCAGTAAACAGTAGAATCATGCCAACCTAATCTGTGTTAAAATGCTTGGAATGTGGGAGCCGCTGATGATGCCTGTTGTCTGTGTGTCTGACTGAATCCTTTCTTTTCTCAGAGCAGCAAAGCAAAGCCTGGGAACCAGGCCAAATGCCTGCCACTTACCTTAAATTGATCAGCCACTTTGAGATTAAAACCCCTGAAAGCTGCCACACCGTGAAAACAAGGCCTCCTTCACATTAAAGGCAAATTGCGACTTTGGGTTTGCTGTGATCTTTTTTCCATTTTATCCAGTTTTTCACAGTGCACACCCCCCGCCCCCCCCTTTCCATTTATGCTCCAATGTAGAAGCCAATAGTTACAGCATCTTGGCCAAGCATTCATTAAGGTTTATAAGAACAAAATTTATGGTTATTTAGGAGTTGGCACAAAGACAGACTGTTGCTAGAAAAAGAAAAAGGAATACAGGTGGGAAATCTAAGCCTCAACAAAGGCCCATACTATATAGCAGTGTGCTAGGCTCCCAGTGAGATGGGAGGAAAATGATACCGTATTTAAAACCGGCTACTCCTCTATTCTGGATCCTTCCCATTTTATGGCTCTGTAGATTATTGAAACAAATATACTAGTCATTCCAAGAGATTTTTCTGTCTTGTGTAAGTGCTACCATTTACAGGAGGAGCAGGTATTGAGCTAGATATATATTAACCTAAGTGATACTCTGTCATGGACAAAAGTACATTGAAAAAATGTGTGTGTGTGTGTGTGTGTGTATACACACACACATATATGTGTGTGTATGTGTATATATATTTACATATATATAATAAATAATATATATATAAATAAAAATAATGAATCAGAATGCGGGCTCTCCCATGAAGAGAAGAGTCATGTTATCGTTCTCAGTAGACCTTACATAATGGCAGGGCTTGCATTCCCAAAAATGTAGGGTGTGGGTAAAACACACCCTTAATCTTTGAGTTCGGGTAGTAATGTGGAATTCTGGCACAGGCTGGAAGTTTATATTCTCCCTCAGGAAATACTGTTAATGATTTTAAAAAAACAACCTTTTCGTTTTCTGCTCAAGGGAAATAAGAAGGCTCCCTGTCCTGTCATTTGCAATATTTGTAAAGCAAGCATTTTAAGAACATATTTTAATCTCTTCTCATTGTTATACAAGAAGTACCTAGGAGTATTTGCATGTATTAAAAAATATATACATCTTCAGAGTTTCATAATATGAACTGTTCTCAAAATATCACTTGTTTTAGCTGTGCCAGAAACTTACTGTATGATGTAGGGAAAGTTAATTTAAATGCCCAACCATCTCCTGTTATCAAATGGGAATATTGATACCAACAATAATAATCATCATAATAATATACTCTACCAGGTGTGGCGTCCACTTCCATGACCTGGCACACACTAGATTGTTTTCCCCTTTCTTCTCCACGAAATTAAGTTCATCTTTTTTACTGACTTTGTTTTGGAAATTTCCTGCCTAATTCTTTTTGTTTCTTTTTATCAGTATCACCTCAACATGGAATAATATAGACTGTCATATAAACTTGCATTTGTTCACATGATGCTCTGCAAAGTATCTATTTCCTTGTGCATGCATAGACAAGAGCACTTTCTCCTAACCACACACATGGCAGGGGGCAGGACTTTCTTGATATCTCTCCACCAACAAGATCCTCTTTAACTTTGGAAAATTGAATATGCATGCAATCTTTTGTATCATTTCACAAAATGCTAAGTAGAACTTTGGCTGCATGAACACACAATGTGATCATCATTTGCAGATAATACTGCTTATTTCTGGGCATGGGCAAGTATGTCTACTAAGCAGTGATTAGAAGTCACTTCCCATGTTTTGCAGAGTGCCATAAAGCCAGAGCCATCACAGAAGGAACAGAAAAAGCCATGGTTCAGACTGGTGCTGATCTCTGTATCTTTTTAACCAGTTTGCCTTAAAACTGTGTCATTTAAATTTTCTATCATGACTAATAGACTTTCATCTTGACTACTGATTTTATCATAATTTCCAAGTCTTCATACTTTGCATTTTCTGTCAGTTCTGATTCTTGCATATTTCATTAGTTAGTATTTACGGAATGCCTGATATAGGTTCAGTGTTAGGCTCAGGGTAATTGGAAAATCCCTATATGACAAGAAGTAGTTGATTTAAAAACACAGAGCAAGCAAACTGACACATATTTCACGATGAAACAGCCAATGTGGCAGTTCAGGAGGTGTGTACCGAAGTGATCACAGAAGGTACAGGAATTGAACAGGACCTAGAGGGATGATGGAGAAAGGAGGGAAGTCTCTCTGAGAGAGGAGCATGGCACAAACAAAGGCATAGAGGTGGGAATGAACTTGGTGAACTCACAAATCAGCCAAGGCATGCTTTGGGCAGACAGATGAGAATGTGGTTAAGTGTGTTGGGAAATAGGACTAAGAGAGAGACCAGAGCCAACTATTACAAGGCCTTAAAAATCAGAGGAGCCCTGGCCGGTTTGGCTCAGCAGTTAGAGCATCGGCCTGTGGACGATCAAACAGAGGAGTTATGATTGTCTTATGAAAAAAATGGGACCCCCTTAAGGTTTTGAGTTGGGAATGTAAGATTTAAGAGAACTATCAATTCTTTTTGATGCAAAGGGTCCTAGACATGGGGAATCAGAACACCCAGGCTTCGGTCTCATTTTCACTATTTTCAAGACCTGCAGTCTTGAGCTGGTTAGTGACTCTGTCTGTGCCTTAGTTCTTACAATCATAAAACAGGAATGATGATACTTGCCTTGCCAGTCTGGTTCAGCACACCACCGACAGCCACTGGAGCTACTCAGGTGTGCTGGAATCAGGATGCGGAGGGCAGCAGCGGCTGCGGAAACTGAGTAGAGGAAACAAATCACAGAATGCTGCAAACACGGACACCATATCGTATAGCTGACTCCGGTCCACTGGTCTCCAGATAAAATAATACTTCCAATTGACTTCTTTTCCTAAAACTCGGTCTCCTCTCCTCGGCGACTCTGTGAACCCTGAAATTTTGCTGCTCTCTCTCCCCTTCCTTGTTCCTTTTCAGAAGGAGTTCTTCGGTTCCTGCTTACCCCACCCAAGAGAGCTCAGAACCTCCGAGAAGTCACCAACAGGTTCCCAAAAGGCCTGTGTCTACTATTTCTCTTCTATTCACCTTGTACACTCCTTCTGTTAACACTGTCTTAGTTGTGCCTTCTTATTTTCTCTAAGTCTCCAGAGTGAGTCTGTCTCTAAATGATTGTTTGTTTCCTACCTAAAAGAACTCACTTTCCCCCACTTTTCCAAATCTCCCACTGATTCCTTTTCCTCCTGCTGGTCATCTGATCTTTCTGATTACTCATTACCAGCGCACTTCTATTTCCTCCCATTCTCTCAACTCATTCTTCAATATTCTTGCAGCCGAAAGGATGTCAAGTTTTGATGAGGATGTGGGGGGCAAAAACTCATTTAGTGCTGGTGAGACTGTAAATTGGTACAACCAATAGGAAATCAATTTGGCAACACTTAGTAAAGTCAAAGATGCTCAGACCCTGTTCCTAAATATCTGCCCCAATAACAATTGTGGTCATAGACTGAGTGCTCACTTTGTGTAAGACTCTTTTCTCCCTTTTTAATTCTCTTGAAGGAGATGCTATCATTATCCAGTTTTACAGAAGAGGAAACTGAGGCACAGGTAAATGAAATATCACACACATGGTCACACTGTTGCGACCTTGTGATGGAGCTTGGATTTGGAGTGCGCGGTTGGGCTTTACATCATTGCAACCTGAAAATATTTCCGAAGTGCAGGGTCGGGCAGACCCACACTACCACAGGAAGCTTTTACTATAGCAGCAGTGGCATTTGATTCTTGTGAAGGTGGCTCCTGTAGACCTATGACCTTCTATGAGGTCCTTGAAGGTGGGGACCAAGTTGTGTTCATCTTTGTATCCACAGTACTTGGCAAAGTGTCTGACATGGATTAGGTACATAAATAGTTATTGAATAAGTAAATGATAAAATAAAAATCAGAATTGCCCTGGCTAGTTTTGCTCAGTGGTTACAGCTTCAGCCCTCAGCCAAAAGGGTCTTGGGTCTGATTTTGGTCAAGGGCACATACCTGGGTTGCAGGTTCAATCCCACCCTGGAATCTATGTGTCTCTCTCACATTGATGATTCTCTCTCTCTCTCCCCCTCCCTCCCTTCCACTCTCTCTAAAAATGGAAAAATACCCTTGGGTGAGGATTAACAACAACAACAACAACAACAACAACAACAACAAAATCAAGATCAAGGGAACAAAGAGAAAAGCAAGTCTTCTAAACATAAACAAATCTTCTAAACATATGTATGTATGTATGTATGTGTGTTTGTGTGTATTTGAGCATCAGATTTGGTTCTGGAAACTAGGGAAAAAGAAACACAGAAAATCACATTATCTTTGCCAAAAGGAAAAGGCAACATTCTCAGGGAAGCCTGTAATTTATACCTAATTACATGACTCCCCCCTTATCTGCAGGGAATATGTTCCAGGACCCCCAGGGGGTGCCTGAAACCACAGATATCACTGAACCCTACATATACTCTGCTTTCTCCTATACATACACACCCATGATAAAGTTTAATTTGTAAATTAGGCACAGTAAGAGATTAACAATGATTAAAAATAGAACTGTAATAAAAGTTATGTGAATGTGCATTCTCTCTCTCAAAATATCTTACTACACTATACTCATCCTTCCCTTGGGATGATGTGAGATGATGAGATGCCCACGTGAGGAGACGAAGGGAGGGAACAACACAGGAGCTGCAGCGGAGCGTTAGGCTGCTGTCGACTCGCAGGTGCTGCGGCGGAGGAGCTTCAACATTGGCACAGATTTCTTTTCCCTCTTCACTGCTTCATGGATAGAAGATCCATTCTTACCACAGATCCTGGCGACCTCAGCATACCAACTTTTTCTTTCCTCATCAAGTCCAGAAATTCACCTTTCCACTTAAGAAAGTATTGTATGGCTTCTCATATCTGACTTGCCAGTCTCACTACTCTTGAGCTTTGGGGCCATTAGTGGGCAAAACAAGGGTGACTTGAACACAAGTGTTGCAATACCGTGACCGCGGATCTGATAACCAAGACGGCTGCGAAGAGCCCAGCGGGTGGGGAGCATGTGCAGCGTGGAAACGCTGGCCAGAGGGATGCTTCAGGTCCTGGTGCGGACAGAGCAGGATGGCATGAG